TTCCTGCTGCATTACGTAACACTTATGTCATGAGTGAACTATTTTAACACTTCTCTTCCAGATGCTGCCAACTTGAGTTTCGACGCTGACACAGCTCACACGTTCCTGCGCCTGACAGAAGAAAACAGGAAGGTGACTAACACCACGCCCTGGCAGCATCCTTACCCTGATTTACCTCAGCGGTTTGAGAACTGGCGCCAGGTTCTGGCCACGGAGAGCTTCTATCTGGGCCGGCACTACTTTGAGGCAGACATCAGTGGTGAGGGTATACACATCGGCGTGACCTACAAGAGCATCGACCGCAAGGGCAATGAAAGCAACAGCTGCATCACAGGAAACAGCTTCTCCTGGTGTCTTCAGTGGGACGGACGCACCTTCTCCGCCTGGCACAGCGACGTGGAAACCCCCCTCGGTGTGGAGAAGTTCACTCGTCTTGGGGTGTATGTGGACTACACACGCGGCCTCCTGGCTTTCTACGGTGTGGATGACACCATGACGCTCATCCACGAGTATAAGGCAGAGTTCCTGGAGCCTCTTTATCCAGCATTCTGGTTGTCCAAGAAGGAGAATGTGGTCACCTTAGTGGGACCTGGGGAGTCATTACAACCCAAAAGCTCCTCTCGCCCCAACTCACCTGCAGATGAAGCTGTCGTCTCAGGAACAGCAGCATAGCAACGAGCAGAAGTCACATTTTCCTGAATTATTCAAGTGGCATTTCAACAAAATGAGAGAACTGTTGTACAAGTTGTTTCTCTCCCAGTAATAGAATTCTGCTGGGAAATATAAAGGAAAGAATCCAAATATGAAAAGTATTCCACATTAACACTTGTGATAAACTGTGCCTCTTTGTATCTCATGTTTCTTTAGGCTCAAGTCATATTTATACTCTTGTGTACTTTTTGACTACCGTTAGTGTACTTTTCAAATGAATTAAAAAATGTCCTATTTTGCATCTTTATTTGTTATGATCAGAGTCTGGGTTTCCTCACTCTATCAAATCAACTGACTCACAGAACTTTTAGCATTATCCTGTGGATAAATGGGGAATCTGCCACTCAGACCACAACAGATGACTGGATCAACTGGGAAGTGACTTTGGCTGATGCACAACATTAACAGCATCAGAAATACTGTAACCAATAAAATGTGTCTGAGGCAAAAAGGCAAAAGGTGGTCACACCAGATACCGACTTGATTTAGCTTTTTCTGTTTACTGCAAGCTAATTTAAAAAACTATTAATGGCAGTATTTTTGAAAGCATCTTCACATTAAGTACATTAATGTTTGTACAATACTGTTCAGCAGTTACTGCATAGGCTCAAGGTTCGAGGTAGATTTTATTGTCATTGTCTGAAGGAAACAAAAACAGGTTAAAAAAAGAAGCATATAGACTGTAAAACACAGTACTATCAAGTCGTGCAGACCCAACACAGTAAACTCATAGTAAGAATCTGTTTTGCTTGTACTTAATCATTTCATGCAATGGTAAAAAAAGCATCATAATGCCCAGATGTTTTCTCAGGATGTTTTATTTTAAAAAGTGTCCTCTCTGAATCTGTTCATCCTCAGTGGAATCTATCAACCTTAATGAACCCAGTGCGTCAGCAGAAGCACAACAAGTTTCCTATGTCTAAAGAAGCATTAAGAAATATTATGAATGAATGAATTGGGCTATTATGCAATATGCTACATCAATAAACCTGCAGAATCAGCTAGAGATGCTGTGTCAGTGTGGGGAGGCCTGCAGAAGATGACTGGCTATAGGAATCCACCCACTCCTGCTGTGGAGAACCACCACCTGGCAGACGACCTGAATGTATTTTACTGAAGGTAACCCCCGCCCCATCCTCCCCCACCTCTGTCAATCTGTGAAAGGAATGTGCATGGCCACTCCTCCTGCCTACTGGGCAAACAGGTCAGTAGATGATGCAGTCAACATGGCACTGCATTACATCCTGCAACACCTCAACTCCCCAGGGACCTATGCACGGGCCCTCTTTGTGGACTTCAGCTCGGCGTTCAACACCATCATCCCAGACATCCTCCACTTTAAACTGACCCAGCTCACTGTGCCTGCCCCCACCTGTCAGTGGATCACCAGCTTTCTGACAGACAGGAAGCAGTAGGTGAGGCTGGGGGAGCCCACATCCAGCACCCGGACTGTAAGCACAGGTGCCCCCCAAGGATGTGTGTTCTCTCTGCTGCTGTTCTCCCTCTACACCAATGACTGCACCTCAGAGGGCCCCTCTGTTAAACTCTTGAAGTTTATCAGATGACACAATGGTCATTGGTCTCATCCTAGATGCTGACGAGTCAGCCTACAAATGGGAGGTTGAACAGCTGGTCCTGTGGTGCGGCCATAGCAACCTGGAGCCAAACACACTCAAAGCAGTGGAGATGACAGTGGACTTTATTTATAAAAAGAGCATCTGTTTTTCCCATATTCTCTTTCTTATTTGATTACACATATTTTCCTGTTTTAAATATATATATATTTTTCTTTTCTTGTTGCCTTATAAAGCACATTGAGAACCTTTGTATCTGAGTCAAGTTCCTTCTGTGTTAAAACATACTTGGCCAAGAAAGCTAATTCTGAATTGTTAAATATCTGTATAATATAAATATCTAAATATATCGGTTCATAGTAGCAGTATATGGGAAGTAATGTCAACAGTACAGCTAAGTTATTCAACCCTAAAAAAAAACCCCGTAACCTTTCCAGTGACGTACCAACATGCTGTACGTAGCACGCTTTGGTCACCTGATCTTAGTGCAGTGACGTGGAACTGATCATGCAAGCAGGAAGTAGGTCATCTATCAACATTTCAACATGATAACAGAAGTAAGTGACTAATTTTAGTCTTTTATCTGCTAATATGTCAAACAGTTAATGCAGTGTCTCCTGGCCCAGCCAGGTATGGCTGTAAAATGAGTTCATTAGCAAAATATTTACGATGCCAGCTGAAGTGAACATCTGTCGTGCTAACGCTAAAAATAGATTGTCCTTATTATTTTGCACCGTTAACGTTGTCTTAGTTAAACGTAACGCTTCCAAAACCACACTTTCCGTCGCTAACCAACCACAAAATGTTTGTTTTAGACCCATGTGGTCAAACCTTTTCTCTATCGTTAGCTGGCTCGGAGCTAGCTAAAGTTAGCTAGCTGCTTTGCCTCTCTGCCCCATGTTAGTTAACTTACAAATAAAACATATAGCGTTATGTAATCGAAAAATAAATCAGCGGCAGTACTCTTGCCAAGAACCCAGATGTCACCTTTTTGTGTATATTGTCCAGTATTTAATAACATGTAACAAAATTTCTTGAGATGACTTAGCAACTTAGCTAAAATATCAGCCATTTCTTTTAGCGCATACTGTATACAACAGCTTCCACTTACAGTTGTCAACGGCAAGAGTTGTTGATGAATGCATTAATCAACATGTATATTCTTACAGTTGCATTGTGTGTTATTTTTATTTGACAAATGTTTATATACTGCTTGGAAATTCTACATAGGGAGACTTAAATTGCTGCTTAATACAAAGGATGAAGAGTTTCTGGGCAAAGTACTAGTTGTATAGTGGTGTAGTAGTTTTAAGCAGTACACAGATTCTGGATTTAAATATGCTGTTATCATTTAAGCTTATATGTCCCATGAGTACTTCACATGTGAACAAAGATGAGGCTTTTTGGTGAGATGAGTCTAAGCCTCTACCATATTTATCCCTCAGGATACTAATGATGAAGACGTGTCTCTGTTTGATGCAGAGGAGGATGCAGGTCAAAGGTCAAAGAAGACAAATATTAAGTAAGTTTAGAGAGGACATAAGCTGAAGCACAAGTATTTGTGATGAATGGTTTAGTCATTTTTCAGTTAACACTGGCAAACATTCACTGGTTTCAACGTGAGGATATGATGCTTTCTCTTGCCATTTATGTGATAGTTAACTGCATGTTTTAGTTGGTAAATGGTCTTATACTTGTATAGCGCCTTTCTATGCTTTTACAGCACACTCAAAGCGCTTTCACATTATTCGGCCATTCACCCATTCGCACTCCCAAGTACTCACGCATTCACACACCAGTGACATCACCAGGAGCAACTGGGGGTTCAGTGTCTTGCTCAAGGACACCTCGACATGTTGACTGGAAAAGCCGGGAATCGAACAGCTAATTCTACGGTTAGGAAACGACCCGCTCTACCTCCTGAGCCACAGCCGCACAGCCGCCCCCAATTTAGTTGAATTTAATCATTTTGTGCCTCATCTGGGTTATCCGGAACTAATAATGAACATGTTTCACTGTTCTATTAGCAGGTACCCAGTGGCATCCTTCTTCCACCTCTTCTTCAGAGTTGGTGCCGTCCTCGTGTATCTGCTCTCTGAGATTTTCAGTAGCAGTTTCATTGCCTGTATGGTTACAATCATCCTTCTGCTCTCGTGTGACTTCTGGACTGTAAAGGTGTGTCTTTTACTGCTTTGATAAGATAAATGTTACCTGTTTTAAAACAGGAATTGTTGTCATCACTTTAGTTATATTAGTTATAAGAAGAAGAGAGAGATTATACGTTTTACCTTTTACTTGACTTTTCTATATATTGATAGAAGGCTGTAATGGTCCTCTGGATATCTGATGAAGGTCAAATAGGTCAGAACGATGTCTGTGTGTTAATACATACAGCTGAAGCGTGAGAGTTTGTTTCAGTGGTTGCGTTGGGTAGCAGTTTCTTACACACAGCCGTCTTATACTCAGGTGTGTAGAGACACTATTATTTGACATTGTTATTTTTAAATCAAAAATATTTGCTGGTTCCAGCTTCTTAAATTAGAGAATATGATGCTTTTCTTTGTCATTCATATTAGTCAATTGAATATTTTTGGCTTTTGGGGTGTTTGCCAGATGAAATGATTTCTTGGTTGACTGTGAATATAATTAGCTGATTAATCAATAATGAAAAGAACTGTTAGTTGTAGCCCTCGGTTGTAACTCCATAAAAATCTTTCATTTACAGAACATCAGTGGGAGGTTGATGGTTGGTTTGCGGTGGTGGAACCAGGTGGACGATGATGGACGAAGCCACTGGGTGTTTGAGTCGAGGAAGGTAAGACACTCCTTAACAGCTCACATGTTGATTTCTGTTGCAGTATAATTCTGTCACATTCTGACCTCTGGTGCTGTGTGAAGTTGATATTGTAAATGCACTTGTTTACTGTCTGCAGGCCTTGCAGTATTTGTAGGTATACCATAAGAGATAAGGAAATGTCCTGTTTTCTTCAGGGTGCTGGGAAACAACAAGCATCAAATTCTGAGTCCAGAATCTTCTGGCTTGGACTGATTGTTTGTCCGGTCATCTGGGTCATCTTTGCTTTCAGCACCCTCTTTTCTTTCAAGATTAAATGGCTGGTAAGTTGTGAAATTTAAAGGATAAAACTACTGCAATTTTTCTAATTGTCTTATTTCAACAATGACAATTGTAATCCAGCTCGCAGTGCTTTGTGACTTCCCCACCCTGCCTGTAGCTGTCAGCCTCAGTCCCATTGGGCTTAAAAAGTCAGTAATTTCCTACAATAGCTGGGCGCTGGTTTGTATCAGATATTACTCAAACAAGAGGAAATGGTGCATTTATGTGGGACAATGAAGCCTACATTTTAAAAGGCAGACTCAAATATCACGTTACTCTATGCACACACTGATTACACTGCCATCTGGGTTTCATTGATAGTAGAAAGACAGAATGATGTTTCTCTAAAAATGTTTTATTGTTGTCAAACACTGACTGTCCTGTTTTTTCTAGCCTGTGGTGATCATGGGTGTGGTGTTACAAGGGGCCAACCTCTATGGCTATGTGCGCTGTAAAGTGGGAAGCAAGACCAGCTTAAAGAACATGGCTACGAATTATTTTGGACGACAGTTCCTCAAACAGGTAACTTGATTTTTGAGTAAAATGCACTGTGTAGCCGTGTTTGTCGGTTTTCCAAGAAGCCTGAATGTACGTGGTGCTTTTGTTTTCCAGGCGCTGTCTAAAGAAGAGGAATCGTAGAGTGCCACTCTGCGATCTTAACGTTTGCATTATCTCAATGCTTTATTCTTTAGCAAGTGGGCATGTAGAAAGAAATCTTTTGGCAACATGAACTGACAGTTACAGTTTTTGATTTTTTTTTCTTTGTAATGTGACATGTGACTTAATCAGTCCCAGTAGAAAGGGTTCACTTCATTTTCACAGTAGGGTCAGAAGTCTGGTAGCTGTTTTCAGAACCTGAAGCACAGCAATGATCAGCAAAAAACCCTCAAAGTCTGACACTTCAGCATAGATGCATGGATGGAAAGGGTGTTTGAGATGAAAAAGTGCTTGAGATGTTACAATGACTGTAGTTTGGTTTGTCATGTAGTGTCACATCTCCCACCAGCATCTGATTTAGTTTGTTTTCATTGCCTGTTAATCTTTGTAACACAGGGCAAAAGTAGTTTCTGAGAGGTATTGTACAAGTTTGTGTAACAGACAGGGTTGTAAAGTCCAAGGGTGAAGTATTCCAGCAGAGCTGTAAATATGTATGTAAACAAACTATGTGCAACATCCTTTGTGCAAATATATTTGTAACATTTTACTGAACAGTGTGGCAGTTTTATTTCTGCATACAGTTATTGACTGACTGTTTTTTCATTGTTGGCGAGACCCAAGTTCATAAACTTTAAATAAAAAATAATACAAGTAAATAGAAATAGCATACAGTACTTGTGTAAATATTTTTTAAAAGGATTTATTTCACGCTACATATTCTCAATTATGTAATAAGGTGACGACTGTTAATTTCATGGCTTTGAGTTTGCGTTTTGGTACCACTGGCTGCAGCACCTCCTAGCGGCTTATTTAGATCATTGCATGCAAGTTTATGATGACATACTATTTAAAGTATTATTTGTATTCGCGTCGCCATGTTTAAGCTGATTAATTTATTAACAATTAGTTTATAAACGAAATTGCGTTTATTTGCCTCAACAATCATTCTTTTTTTTTTAACCAGACAAACACAATCACAAGACGGAAACGGAAAAGAACCCTCGCCTTTTTTGACAGGAAGTTTCTGCGTATTTACCTTCAAAATAAAGGTGCACTGTTTTGCGCATAGACAAAAGTATACACGTAAAGGTTCTGACAAATCTAGCCTAGCCTAGCAAAACACATGTAACATAATATAACATATTTTTTAAACACGTGAAAAACTTTAATCCGTTGGCAAGTAACAAGTATGATGTAATTATATGTTTTGGGGACAAAATGCATCAGCAATTTGTTTTAGTATCACATTTACTACTGAAGTAACTTAGAAAGAAAAGAGTTGCGGGTAGTTACTGTTAATGTGGGTATTATTGGTTATTTTGAGTTTGTTATTTGATAGGATATGTGGCACAATGTTCAATTGCAGCGCGCTTTACTTTGAAATTGTAACCGGAAGAAAATATTTTGCAACTGCTAGCTTACGTATCTGGACTTGGCTATCCAAGCGATAGCTGTCGGCCTTCTTTGTTGATATCTTATGGTCTAAATAAGTAATTTAGCCAGTAATAATTAACCGGTGGCCGTCCTTTGATGGGAATTACCTCCAGGATGATCCCTACTGAGGACGCGTCCGCCAGGAAGCGGGCGATAGAGGAAAAACTGAAGCAGGTGAGACACGGCTAGCGAAGAAGGAAGCATCCCGACCAGCTGTATTTTCTTTTGTAAACATTCCTCCATTTGGCTCAGCTAACTTGCACGCCTAAGAATGTCATTTTACCGATATGCAAAAGTCGCTTCCTTCTGCCTCTATGAGAGAAGTGAGTCACTTGTTTTCCGTGTGTGAACGTCACAGGAGCAAGAGACGCTGTCATTCATCAGAGACAATCTGGAGAAGAGTGATCAGCTGACCAAGGGCATGGTAGAAAACAAACACACAATCTGCTTACTCTTACACGTTTACGCAAAAAATGCAACGTTTTCATCATCTAGATGAAACCTAGTCTGGGTCAGGTGTGTTGCCTTTAGACGTAGTTAACTTATACCTGGTGTTATGTGCTTTTAGAGATGAGTGAAGAAATTCTGTAGTAACAGAAGCCGGTGCATTCTCCTTAAGTGTGTAGAACTTTAAATTTTTTAGTTTTTGGTAGCTGCTATACTTTTTTTGTAGTATGGTTTTAAATACTAAACATTCTCAGATGTATTTGTGCAGGTAGATGACACTCAATCACAACATTCATGTCAGACAGTGTATTTTCAATAAACACATCATTTGCAGTACTGACCACAGGTAGGTTTTTTTCTCCTTTGTTTGACTGTGCTGACATCTTTCTCACCCTGAAAGGTGTCCATCTTGTCTTCGTTCGAGAGCCGTCTGATGCAGCTGGAGAACTCCATTATCCCGGTACACAAGCAGACGGAGAACCTGCAGCGGCTGCAGGAGAACGTGGACAAGACTATGTCCTGCATGGATCACGTCATCAGTTACTACCACGTTGCCAAGGACACCGACAGGATCATCAGAGAGGGGTGACCAGGCCACTTTCATTGTTGTTCTTTGTGTCTAAGTTGCTCTCCCCACTGTTAAAACAACCACCTCCACTTTTAGGGGAAATCACTACATTTTTAGAAGATGTGAAAACATAAAATACTGTATATCAGAGCAGGTATTTTGTGTTCCAGACCGACAGGCAGACTGGATGAGTATCTTGCGTGCATTGCAAAGATTCAGAAAGCTGTGGAATACTTTCAAGACAACAACCCTGACAGCCCTGAGCTCAACACAGTGGTACAGTGTTAATCTTCAGCTTTATATGCATGCATTTGTCTAAAGGAGCAGTTCAACATTTCAGGGAGATGCGTAAATGAAATTAAAACATCAGCACCGCTCTCATACCTGTAAATTGAATATGAAGATGTGAAGCTACAGCCAGCAGCTGGTACGTACATAACCCCTAAAAAACAACAACATGCTTTTTATACTTTTTGGTTTTTGTACATATTAAACAGTAGAATTAGTTGTTTATTAGTGAGCTTCAGAGGTGATGGAGGTGGAGCTTGTTACTTTTGGACCCAACCAGGCTAGCAGTTTGCAGTCTTTATGCTAAGCTAACAGGCTGCTGGCTTCATATTTCATGTATAGACATGAATCAGTCTTATCTAACTCTTGCTAAGAGAGAGAATGTTCTTTTTGAATAATTACACATGCAAACTGTTACTCTAATTGTTTACTACCACACTTTGTCTTGTAAACATGCTTCTGTTAAACAAGAATAGAAAATATATTCAGAGCTGCTACTTCACACTACTGCAAGTCTAGAAGATGGTGATTGCAAAAAAAAGTGTAAATGAAGAAGACACACACTTATCATAGACAGCCAGTTTATTGTCTGAGTCTTGGGTCAGGCTGTTCTTCACAAAGTCAATAAGAAGTTCCCTGAAAATGGACAGATGTTGTTGCTCCTCTGCAGAAAGCACGCTTTGAGAAGGGCAAGGAGCTGCTGGAGGCTGAGTTCCGCAGCCTGTTGACCCGCTACAGTAAACCTGTTCCCCCCATCCTCATCCTGGATGCCATCAGTGTGGATGAGGAGCTGGAGGTTCAGGAGGAGGTGGTGCTGGAACACCTGCCTGAAGCCGTGCTCCAAGACATCATCTGCATCGCCGGCTGGCTGGTGGAATATGGACGCAATCAGGGTACCACTTGATTTGCTGATTTAGGCTGTGTGGCGCTGTTACTCCTGACACCCTGTCCACCACTCTGGATGTTGTTGGGCTGTCTTGGTTGACACGCCTCTGCAACGTCGCATGGCGGTCGGGGACAGTGCCTCTGGACTGGCAGACCGGGGTGGTGGTCCCTCTTTGTAAGAAGGGGGACCGGAGGGTGTGTTCCAACTATAGGGGGATCACACTCCTCAGCCTCCCCGGGAAAGTCTATGCCAGGGTACTGGAGAGGAGAATTCGACCGATAGTCGAACCTCGGATTCAGGAGGAACAATG